TCGTTCGTTGGCTCTCGTGTCACTACGTACATCACGCTGTACTTCACAACAATTCGGCCGAATCCATGCTGGTCTGATCACCGATCCGCACAGAGTTTCAGACCTCCACATCTGTGTGTAGAACTGGCCATTGGGGTTTTAGACGAGGTGAAATCAGGTCTTCCCAGGTGGTTTGGCTGGAGGGGGCTCACCCGACCTCAATGCATATCTCCACATGCGCACACCTACCACCGGGGCGAAGAAGGGGCAGAGGAGTAGGAGGCCTTTCCAGTGGAGGTTCATCCCAGACTGGAGGGGTTTGAGAGCATCGATCAGACTTTGAGTGGCGTGGTTGGGTGGCCACAAACCTTGTATCAAAACATGTGGAGTGGGAAGCATGTATCACCCAAATTCAGAAAAAAACCTTTGGGAACCTTTCGTTATACACAAGATCAACACTCTCTGCTTGGCAGGCTTGAAAAAACACGTCTGTCTACAGAGAAACCAACGCCAAGCGACCGACCGGCTGGCAGAAACCCACCGGGTGCTCCCGTCGCGTGAGGACCCCCGCCTGCCGCGTGTCTTCATCTTGATCTTGTACCTCCCGGACCGGTCGAGTCGAAGCGGCGAGGAATGACCCCCTGTCGCCTCGAGTTTGGACGGGGCGCCCGGCCCTTCGCCTTTGGGGCGGCGGAGAAGGGAGTTTTTCTTCCTCTGTAGTGACTATAGTGGTTGATTTAGATCTGTTTGTGCACGGAGCTTCCCGAGTGAAGGCGCCTTCCCTCGGGAAGCTGAAAAAAGACTCCAGTTCCGCCATGCAGGTGTCCGACCATTCCTGGAATTGGGTGTTCGAAGGCTCTCAAAAAAAGCCGGGGATCAATGAATGATAGTTGGATGAAGAGTAGATGGCACAGGTTTATATGGGCCCCTATCTAATTAAAGGACATCTTGACGTCTGTGCCATCATTTACTCTTACAACAAAAATGTGGAAGTCCAAGACTTAGTTTTAGAATGGATTAAAATCGTTGAGCTGTTTTCGCAGTGTAAAGATCCTTGGTAAAACCAATCGGTGTTAAATTTTATGGTGGGCCAAGAAGCCGAATGGGATACAATCTTGGAGACAGTATTTCGCCGCAGGTAACAAGAGCATTGGACTTCTAGGGTGAAGGATGAAGGGAATCTGGACGTGACACTGTCGGGTTGTGATGGGTTTTCAAAGTTTAGGATGGAGGAAGCTCCATGGAGCTTGAGAAAAGGAGAACTCGAATGATCAAAAGTATTCTTTTTCAGACTCACCTTTGGGGAGTATAGGGTGTGTATATACAGTGTACGGTCTGGATGCTCCAACGCAAGCCTGCCTCACTTGGCAATTCATGGATGCAGTTCGGAAGACATCTTGCATGGTTGCATACTGGCGACTGGTCTTGCTTCAGCTTCCTAGATTCTAGAGCTTCATCATGGCCTTTTTCTGTGCCTTTCTGCCTCACCTGGACAGCCCACACCATCGATCATTCTCACCGGAAGCCTCACCCTGGGTGTTTCGGTGGGCGTGGCGCGACCGCTCGAATCGGCGAAGGGGTCGAGCCAAGGTGGCGGCTGTTTCGAGTGCCTGGTGGTGGATAAAAGAAGTCTCGGTTCGACCATGGTCACCCTGGCGAATCAACTATACAATCCAACGTATACACCGTGCATTTGGCTCTGTGAATGGAAAAACGCACGACCCAAAGCATACCTTTTCATGAAGGTCATGAACACCTGAGAAAGGTGAACCGGTCAATACGACCTGCGTTTGGCTCAAGGAACAACGTGAGCGGCTGTTTTTTGTCGGTCGCTCTTGAGGCTTTTTCCATAACCACAGGTTATGAGCCCAAAGAGCTTTTGAAGTCCACCCTCATTTGAGGTCGCTGGTCCCCATGAGCGGCTTGATGGCGCGGCGGCGGCGCTCCTCCCGCGAAGGAGGCAGGCTGAGGGATCCAGGAGATCGAGGAGGGCAACTACGTGTGGGAGCAGCTGACGAGAGGCTAGACACCCTCCTCGAGGAGGCAAGGGCAACCTCAATGCCACCTGCTGTGAAGAGAGTTGGAGGGGCTCCAGCGGCTGGCGAGGCGAGAAGATCTTCGACGGCGGCAAGCGGAGCTGATGGAAGACAACAAGGTCCAGCATCTGAACGGCATGACCGAGGAGCTGGCTGGCAGGAGACGGTGAGGCAATCCCTCGAGGTGTTGCAAAGGGCCTTTGGATCAACTTCCCAAGGACCGATGCCGGTGGGACCTCCGCCTCCTGAAGGACTACTTGGACCTCTATTTCATGGCCGCGATCCAGGACACCCTCGCGCTGATGATCCGGGACAACCTGGAGGGCAAGGGGCTTGGCAGCGGGAGGCAGCGTCATCGCCTCAGTTTCCGATTCCGCCGAGAGCGGACAGGAGCGGCATGAATGGTGAAGGTGGTCCACAACCTAGAGTACTTGAGCCCTACGACATGTCCACACCCCATCAACATGGGCGGCAGCAGACCAATCCTTTTTGGAGTGACCGTGGACGTGCACCTGATGTGGCATCCCGTTCTGAACGTCCTCGACCCCCTAGTGAAGAGGTGAAGAGAAGCCCGACGTCTCAGGAGCTGGAAGCCATCCGGGAGCGCATCCTTCGCGAAGCCCACTTGAACTTTGAGAAGGAGGTCAAGAAGCTGACAGGTGGTGGAGGTTCGTCGACGTTTGAATCGGCGAATAGTGTGGGCGAGCGGGCGAAACTTCGTGGTTCCACTGATGGTCAAGGTGGGAACTCTGGTGATGGTGTTGGTGAGTCACTACCTGATCGACCCCCTGGATTACATGAGACCACAACCGGGACATTGTCATCAGGGTTTGGTGGTGGAGCAGGAAAGGTGACCAGAATTGGGGCTGGAATTCCCGTGGCATCGACGACCGAGGCTCTGCGAAATTTGGAGCTTCCCTCACGTCCAGCACCCAATGGAGAAGGAGCTTCGATTCTCTTCGGCGACTGGCTGACTATGGCATTCCCGCTGATGGCTGACATCTCCAACTCGGCGAAGGCCTGGTGGGAAGAGTCCTTGATGGTGGCGCAGGAGCACTACTCCCGGTGGCTGCGACTGAGTCCGCTGGAGAGGCTGAGATCGAAACCTCAAGTTGAAGTGGACCCAGCATTTCAACGGATTGAGCAGGGTGGAATTGCCATGCTACTTGGAGCACTACCTGATCAGCTTCGTCGGGACTTGGTGTCTGGCAGGCAGCTGTCCGTGGTGCACATTCTGTACCGGCTCCATGTGGCGTACCAGCCAGGAGGCGGCGCTGAAAAAACGCAACTCCTCAAGAATTTAGTGGAGTCGAAGTTCTCCACATCGGTGGGAGAATTGTTGATGCAGGTCCGGTTGTGGCGACGTTGGCTATCTCGTGCTCAAGAACTTCACCTCAACCTTCCGGACCCTCTGGTCCTCATGCACGCCCTGCAGCGCATGATCGACAGCACCCAAAAGGCAGGCGGCACTCAGGTGTCATTCAGGATTTCAAATGTTCGTCAAGAACTCCGAGTTGACTATGCAGCTTCATTGGAAGGAGTCACTGAGCTAGCTGAGTATGTGCAGGCGGAGATCGAAGAAATGTCCCTCACTGCAGCTCAGAAGGGTGGTGCACCACTGGCTCAGCCGGCGGCCTCGTCCAATCAAGCGGTCTCGACGTCACTGAAGGCCATGGCATCGTCGTTTGGAGCGGCTGAGAATGAGGAGCGAGCAGGAGGAAGGCTTGCTTGCAAGTTCTGGAAGTCGGAGGAAGGCTGCAGGAGGGGAACATCTTGCACCTATGCCCACGAGACCTCGGATATGAAGAACCGGTGCTTTGGTTGCGGTGGGAACCACATGAAGCGTGAATGTCCTCACCAACCCAAGACTGGAAAGACTGATCCAAAGAGGGTCTCAAAGGTGAAGGCCACGAAGGAAGGAGAGAAGGGGGAGATCGTCGAGAAGATCGCCAAGGAGCAGCCCATAAGTGAAGAGCCGTCTCCGGGGTCATCGCCGCCTCCTACCACGACCACTTCGAGAATGGCAGGAACACCTGAGAAGCCACTGGGTCGGGAAACTACGGCAGAGTTGCTGTCGGAGGCAACGTCTTTGCTCAAAACACTTCGGAGCATGAAGGTGCTTCGTGTGAAGGAATTGAAGCCGGTTGGCACTGATGGTTTGGCACCTGTTGGATTGCTGGATGGAGGGGCGACCAATGGTCTTCGTCGAGCACATGAGCAGGAGCTGGAAAGGATGTACCCGGTGAGGGTGGAGTTGGCCTTAGGGTCAACGACGTTGTTCAGGGTGGATGACCACAAGACCTTGCTGTCCAAGGACCACGTGGAGGTCATTGTCCCGCTCCATCGACTGGTGGGCCTGGGGTATCGGCTTCAGTGGACGGCGGCTGGAGTGAAGATCAATCACCCTGATCATGGCAGGATTGACTGCGCGCTTCGTGGGGGATGTCCGGTTCTACCTGAGGCCAAGGCGCTGGAGTTGCTCAGCACCATGGAGAAGGCAGATCGGGGGGGAGATCTTCACTGATGATGAAGTACGATCATGGTGGTCATCAAGATTCCCTGAGGTCCCTGCGGAGGTGTGGGAGTTCATGAAGGGCCAGGACAGCTTTGATGCTTGCACTTGCCCCTGGAATCGACGTCAGCGGCGACGACACCTGGCGTCTCGTGGTGTGATTGTCAACCTCTTTGCCGGGAAGGACTATAAGAGTTGGTCTAAGACGGACTGGGGTGGCTTCGAGATTTTGAATGTGGACGTGACGATGGGAGCACAGTTCGACCTCCATGGCATTGGAACTTGGGGTTACCTATGTCATCTAGCTCGACGAGGCTTGGTCGTTGCTGTGTTGGGAGGGCCGCCATGCCGCACGGTGTCACGGTTGAGGCACCGAGCTCCGGGTCCACGCCCTTTGAGAGGTCGAGATGACCGCAGATTCATGCTGGAGGGACTTTCTTCGCCAGAGCAGGAGCTTGCCCTCAGCGATTGTGCGTTGATGATGAAACAGATTGGTCTGTGGCTCCTCGCTGATGAGCATCGTGGAGGACGACCAGCACCTGGATTTCTGATGGAGTCACCAAGAGACCCCATGGATTACATGTCAACTGAGGCCACCAAGGAGGACATGCCGAGTTTCTGGAACTTTGAGGAAGTGAAGAAGGCCAGAGAGCTGATGGGCGCCTCCTTGCTGACCATGGATCAAGGGCCTATGGGCCACGTCAAGAGAAAACCAACATGTTTGATGGTCGCCAACCTCCCACAGATGAAGGAGTTAGATGGCGTGTCCGGAGAAGGTAGAGGAGAAGTTGAAGCAACATCGCTCACTGGGAGACTGGCTCAATCGAGGGAGTGGTCGTCCTGGGCACCGGGCTTGGTGGCAGCGGTGAAGGAGTGCTTGAAGAACTTCCTCCTGGACTACAGGCGCAGGTGGAATGCGGAGGAGATTGTGCACCACGGCGAACCTGGAGTGAAGCGAATGAGCATGGAAAGTTGGAAAACCCATGTTCGAAATCAACACCAACCCTACAGGAGGGATTGTCGGCGATGCATGGAGCTGATGGGCGTGGATGC